GTGTGTGTGTATGTGTTACTGGGGACTTTTCCACTGAGTTACATTCCCAACCCTTTCTCTTTTGGTACCAGGAATTGAACCCTGGGGTGCTTAATATCCACATCCTCAGCCCTTTTTATATTTTATTTAGAGACAGGGTCTTGCTGAGTTGCTTAGGACCTCACTAAATTGCTGTGGTTGGGCTTTGAACTCTTATTAATCTTTCTGCCTCAGCCTTCCAAACTGCTGGAATTACAAGCATGCACCATCACACCCAGTTTCCAACCCTTTTTATATTTTATTTTGAAATAGGATCTTGCTAAATTGCTGAGAATTTGTAATCTCCTGCCTTGAATTTATAATCCTCCCTCTTCAGCCTCCTGAGTTACTGGGATTACAGGCACACTGCCACATGGGTCCCAGCTAGCTTCACTTTAAATTCTTCTGCCTTCCCTAGCTGGATGGACCTCCATGTGGATAGCCTCTCAGATTTTTAAGGTATAAAAGATCCCAGAGTTTAGGTGTACATATTCATAGACTCTTGGATGTATTAGGAAACACTGAAGAGAAAGATGTATAAGATACCAAATACTTTGCTGCATTTCTTTTCGTAAAATTTAAAAATGAAGATACTTAATGTAATGTTTAAACTTCAAATTGGGAGATACATATATATTATGTACTGGTTATTAGCTTAATGCATATTGTGATTGAGATTGAGGATTTTTGTTTATTTGTTTCGGACATAGGGTCTCCTTGTGCTGTTCAGCCTAATTTTGAACTCCTGAGTTTAAGGGATCTTCCAATCTCAGCCTCCCAAGTGCTGAGATTGCAGGGACGCAGCATGCCCCTGCACCTGATCCATGATTGAGTTTTAATAGTCACTAGGGAAAACTTTGAAATTTCTGTTCCAGTACTTGTAAAATCAGGTCCACATAACCTATTTATATTTTATCCTTTTCATCAAATTCTTTAACAAGTGATGCACAACATGGGAAAGTCACTTCTCTGAGCAAAATTTACTCATCATTTTATCTGCCATTCATTCACTGATGCGCCATTTTATTGTTTATTATTTGCTAGGCAAGGTGGTAGCAACTGGGAGTATAAAGAAAAATGTCAGGGTTTTTGTCTTGCAGAAGTCTCTCAGTCCAGTGTTGCCAACAGCAAGGGAACTACCAGGGGCCTTTGTTTCTGTGGTGCATATTCCTTCCTCCAGCTCTCAAAGTATGTCTATCCAAAGTCATCGAATCAGTTTTCTGAAATTATACAATTTCAACTAACAATCCGGGAATTCGACTATTTTGATTTGCTTTAAAACAATTACTACCGATTCTCTGCCTCACCAATCTTTTTGTCAGCCACTGCAATTCCGTTTTAACACACCTCGCTTGTGAGAGGCTGTGCTAGCACTCTGGAACTTTATAATTATGTTCAGTGTTTGTGTGTGGGATGGAATGGGGAGGAAAACGACAAATAATTATAGTTTCGCTGGTGAGAGTCTGCCAGGCTAAGTAGTAGAAATACGAGAAGCGGATAAAGCTTTCAGCATTCTTAAAAGTCGTAGGGAAGTTCCTGGCACGACCGGGGGACGTGGGGTGCCTTGCCACTCCTGTGAACGCGGGAGGACACTTGACCATCACTTGACCTCAACTCTGCGTTCTCGGTTTGAGGCCATCGTCAAGGAGTACTGCCGCTAACCCGGGCTCTAAGGGATTAAGACGGCACGGGAGCCCCGCTCCTGGGACAGGCTGCGACAGCGCGCACGGAAGTGCTTTTGGCTCTCTCCAGTCGGAGAACGACTCTTCCCCTCCAACTTCCTCCCGGGGCTGGGCTGCTCGGCCTCCCCAGCCGGCTCCTCCTCCTGCCCTGCCTCCTCCCACTGCCCGCCGCAGCTCTCAGGCCCGAGGTGCGGCGCTCACCCTGGCAGTCCCCAGCCCGTGACGCTGCGTTGAGCCGAGCTCCGAGGAGGCGAGGGGCACACGCGCTGCCGCCCCCGCCTCGCGCCCCCTGCGCCCCACTTCCAGGGCAGCCACTTGGAAACAGCCCCCCCGCTGCCTCTCCCAGAGCTGTCCCAGGCTAGCTGGGAAGAGAGCGGCCGACAAGTTTGGGCGCGCGCAGGCGGCGGGCCGCTGGCACCGTGCGCCCCGGGAGGGGCGGCCGCCGCTCCGGGCTTGGCGTCCCGGGCGCACTTTGGCTATGGATTCTCCCGTGCGAAGGCGGCTGCACCTTTGCTCCCGCCGCCTCCTGCTTCTCGCCTCCGGACTCCTTCTGCCTCTCTGCGGCGCCTTCAACCTAGATGTGGACAGTCCTGCCGAGTACTCTGGCCCGGAGGGAAGTTACTTCGGCTTCGCGGTAGATTTCTTCGTGCCCAGCGCGTCTTCGTAAGTGGCGGCACTGGGAACGCGAGCCCACCCCCTCCCCCACCGCGCACCCACCCTGCGTTTCCCCACCCCCGGGCTGATCGCCTCCGAGGACCCCGGCGTCTGTGTGTTCCAACCGTACCAACTCCGGGTGGCTTATATCCGGAGTGGGAGAACGATCGACACCCAATTCCATCTCTTAAATTTGGTTGGGGGCAGAAGGAGAGAGAGCTTTGAAGCAGATCTGTTCTTAAAATTTAGGAAAAGTGGGAAATCAACAAAGACTGGTCCTGTCGGACTTCGCCCAGCTTCTGTTTTGGTTAATTTCATCTCCCAACTTCTTTTTCTCCTGTACCAGTTAGCCCTTTTCTGCTTCACAGATTTAACACCCATTCTTTTCTCCCTCCCCCACTCTTTCCGCCTCTTAGTCTGATTCTGTTTCTTCTCACTCCTTTTCCAGACATTCTGATGACTAAAGTGACCATATTGTTGTATTAAATTCATTGTGTCTTATCTTTGGGACTGTCAGACATTTGAGCATTTGAGTTGAACAGATGAATTGAATGTGTCATCTGCGCTTTTTATAGTGATTCACTATTTAGGTCATTGTTCAGAAAGAACAAGAGTGTTTGCTGAGTTTTCACTCGCTGCAGGTCGCTTGAATGCTGCATTATTTTTGTAATTCAGTTATGTTTTCAAATTGGCAGCGTTCCGCTTTGCAACGACCCTCAGGATTTGAAACAGTTATATATTCATTATTGGATTGCAGATTGTCTCTGACTCTACTGAACACTGACATCATTCTCACCCCCACCCCACCCCCACTCCACTCCCATTTTAGCCTTAGAAATACTGATTTAACGAGTGTTCACTGCATAAGTTATGGTGTTTAAATCTTTTCAAGAGGGATACTGTACATTCGGATCTAAGTTTTTAGAAGTTTTAACATATTTTTGTTTCTACGTTTTCTCTGTTAGGTATCCTTTTTTGGGAGGTTAGGAGGAAGGCACAGGATAATTTGGATGGTCAGTACTTAAGACCATTTTCCCAATACATTCATGCCTAATTTGAGGGTGGTCTACATATTTTTCTATGACTGTTAGGATATTCTTTAGGATTTATTCTTGTCATTTTTTTCTGAATGTTACTGAGTATCATTCATTTTGATAACAACTTTTGCAACAATACTTAGATTGGATGCAGTTAGTGGAAACTAGGCATTGTTTCATGTAGCAGACTTAGATTTGTTTGTCATTTCCAGTCACAGTGGTTCTTGTATGACCTGAGCACAGATTTTTCCAAAGTGGTAAAAATGATAATAACTTCAGATAGCATTTACAACTTCACATTCTATGTAATGTTTTTTAGGGGAGGAGGGAATACCAGAGATTAGATGAAAGGGCCTCATATATGCTAAGAATATACTCTACCAGTGTGGTACTTCTTGATTTCATCATTTTAGCTAGTTTTACCATTTAAAAATTTTTGTTCACAGATATTTTAAAGTACATATCCTCTGACAGTATAATACATTTCAGTTGCTTCTAAGGATGCACCTTTAGATTTAATTTGTTTAGAATTTCTGATAATTAAATGTATAATGTGTCTTTTGTGAAAAGCAAGCATTTAAATACTTCAAAACTGATGGAGTGTTTTGCAGATATTCTGCAACAATTTCCTTGAGTTCAGTGTAGGGATACTTGACAAGAGGACACACTTTTAAGTATTATTATTATGGAAAACACAGTAATATTTACTATTGATGATATTTGCTGTTGCAAGGCACGTGGCTAATCTTTGGCCAGTCATTATGATCATTGAATATACTAGGACTTCGTACATCTATATGACCTCATATGTTTATATAATCTCACCTGTTGGCCTTTGATGGTAACTTAAAATTGAAATAGGGTTTAAGTTCATGTAATATTTTAAAGTATTCATCAGCAACTTTGTTACTAGTAGAGTAGGAAACTCTAGTATTAAAATTAAATTAAAAAATGAAGCAAATGGAAACCCTTTGAAGTTTTTTTAAAAATAAAATATATAAACAAAGGTTTCTACTTATCTTTTCAGATTAAACACAGATTAATTTTAAAATTATGCTTAATTTTGTAGAAACACACTTTTAAATTTAATAAGCATTGAATCCAAGGTACATGGGATGTCATTTACTATATTGCTAGTTGGATTTATTATTGTTATTTGGTGTTATCATAAACTAATAAGAGGGAAAAACACATAATAAAAGGTGTTTGCTATTTAAGGAATTTCTTTCCTGCATAGGAGGAAGAATTAGTGAGCAAGCAACAGTTATGAAGTTTACTGCTGCCCCTTATAGTTTAAAGTGTCCAAATATCTTATGCAAGCTATAGAACTGTTTTATACCTTATTTTTATTTCTTCTTATTTTTTAAACTAAGATAAAGATGAACTAAGATACACAGTAGTAGAAAAATTATTATTGAATTATCTCCATATTATTGTTGTTGTGGGCCGATGTTTATTAAAGAGAAGGGAAAATGAAGTACTAAGCAGAAATGTTAAGGTTGCCACTCAAAATATTGCTCCATAGATGAGTCTTAGGTTTGAAGTTGGAATTTGTAAAAATAGTTTTTAAAAATCATGGTCAATAAACTATTAGCATTGCATAGTTTTCTTTTTGTACACATTGACTTATGGATACAATGTTGTTATATTTACATAAAATTGAAAGATCAGATTAAGGCCAAGAACTGTAATCCTGTTTTTCCTTTTTTTTTTTAAATATTTTTTTAGTTGTAGATGGACACGATACCTTTATTTTATTTTTATGTGGTGCTGGGGATTGAACCCAGTGCCTCTCATGTGCAAGGTGAGCACTTTACCACTGAGGTACACAACCCCAGTCCAATCCTGTTTTTGTGTGTGTGTGTGTGTGTGTGTGCAGAATAATTGGAGAAATTAAAAACTGAATACTAGGTTTGAAGTACTATAATGATATTTTACATTGGTAAATCTATTTTACAATTTGCAAAGCACTTTTACTTACATCTTATTTCAGTACAAACCACCAGGGGAAGTAGGGGAAAGGCCATGAACTAGTTCATATAGACAGGGAAATAGAAGCCAAGAGTTTAGTCTTAAGTTATTTGAGCAGCTTGGTGTGGGATAGGGATAAGGAAGGAGCAAAAGATAGCCTGTGTAATTCAAATCCCACTTGCTTTATGTCTTCAAATACTGCATCCTGTCGTGTACACCCTCCTACCTCTCTCCAATCCCTGCCTGCTGGGGATCAAACCCAGGGTTCTATGAATGCTAGGCAAGATCTCTACTACTGCACTACATCTCCAGCTTACTTCTCTCCACCACCCAACTTTTTCCACAAATAATGATTTTTTCCCTCGCTTAATGACAGTTGAGCCCAGGAAGGGTTTGCCGCTGAGCTGTTTCTCCAACCCTTTTAATTTTTTATTTTGAGACAGGGTTTCCTCAGGTTGCTTAGGGCTGTGCTAAATTGCTGAGACTGGCCTCAAACTTTTGATCCTCCTGCCTCAGGCTCCCAGGTTGTTGGGATTACAGGTTTGTGCCACTGTGCCTGGCTCCATATAATGATTTTTTTTAATATTTATTTTTGTAGTGTTAGATAGACACAATATCCTCATGTTTATGTGGTGCTGAGGATTGAACCCAGCGCCTCACACATGGTAGTCAGGTACTCCACTACTGAGCTACAAGCCCAGCCCCACATGATGAAGTTTTAAAGAAAGCAATCTCCTTATGTATTCTCAAAGTAGTATGTCATAAGGGTCTTATTTTACATACATATCTACATATGTACACATATTCATTCTCCAAGTCGTATATAAAGTCCTCATTTTAAATATATGTGTGTATGTATACATACATATATATATGTATACATACATATATATTTATATACATACATATATAAATGGTGTTGTACATTATACACACACACACACACACATAAATAGTGCTATATAGCACTAAATTCAAATTTTTGGTTTTTTCTTCATTAGAAACAAATGGATTTGGGCTGGGGTTGTGGCTCAGTGGTGGAGCGCTTGAACGTTTGATCCTCAGCACCACATAAAAATAAATAAAACAAAATAAAGGTATTGTGTCCATCTACAACTAAAAAAATATTTTTTTTTAAAAAAGAAACAAATGGCTCTTTTTTATAGTTACTGTGTATTGCAGGACAAGGGATGGATGAGTATTTTATGGAAGGAGAATTTACTTTTGAACCTCTGGAAGTCCTGACATGGCAATACCTGGAAAGTTTTAAAACAAAACTGCTGCCCTGGTTGCATCTCAGATCTAAAAGCAGAGCTCAGTCGTGATCTTCCAGTGGATTGTGGCTCATTTCTCCTTGATGAGCCCATCTTAATTCATTCTGACTAAATGTGAGCTCCTTTTTACCAAGAGATCTCCGTGGTACCTCTGCTTCTATTAGTGGTGCCATCATTTTCACTGTTGCCCTGGAAATAATTTCATATTCCTCCCTCTCATTTTCTATTTTTCTTTTTCTCTCCTACTGCACTCCTCCAGCGTTAGTCAGTGCTTAGTCACCAGCAGAAGGTCTCAGAGGTCCCTCCTCTGTTAAGATTTCCTGGTGTCCCTCTCCGCTTTCCACTTCTGTTACTGCCTTTTTTTGTCTCGGCTCTAGTCATCACAGGTGTGGCCCCTGGTGCTCAGGTCGTCCCTTCTCCCTCTGACCATCATGTGGCTCTAGGGGATGTATCAGACATTGTATGTTTCTTTTAGTTTTATATTTCAGAAACATCCATTTGGATCCTAAAGTTCTTCTGCCACTCAGGTTCCTTCAAAAGTGCTTGCACTGCCAGAGGAGTCCAGACTTGTCAACCCAGATAAGGCCATTGTGGTCTGCCTCAATCTGTGTGCACTTCTTAAAACTTCTCATTTCATTTCTCCCTTTACCATTGTGAACATTGTCACGACACTTTAAAAAACGACTTCAGTTCATAAACTTCAGTGTGGCTTTGGCTTTGCTGGCTG